CATGCAGCAGAAATGTCCCTTAATTCAGTAACTGCCCCGTTCAGTTTGATGAGACCAGGTTAGACGAACAGAATGGCATCTTTCGTTGCTCGTGTTTTCTTTTGGTGGCAATGATTGTGTACCTAAGGCATCAGGAAGGATGTTAGAAATAAGTTTTTTGTGTAATTTTTTCTTGTGGTCAATTTCTTCAAAGACAAGTTTGTAGGTTCCTCTTTATCTACACAAAGCTGGTCATGAAATAGCAGCAGATCCCAGCATGTGCTGCAATGGTAATGAAATCAGTTAATCTGAAATTCTGTAATGGATGGCGAGCATCTTTGCATTGCTTTTTTTTAATGGAAAGAATAGTCTGTGTCATGTGCATCAGAGTCCCAGTTCATTCAAGGATGTATCCCAGATGTAGGTGTTATGTAAAAGTTAAATTTCTTTTCTCTGTCTCTATTCTCCTTGTATCACAGTGCTTGCAGTAGAAGTAAATCCTGTTTTCCTGCCACTGAAGGAACAATAACGGAATGAAATTCTCTCTGTAGAACTCATTTGCTCACCTGTGTTACTCTGAACTGGCTGTTTAGTAAACTAACCAGCAAGCTTGACCTCCAGGTGCTGCTCTTACTTCTCACATTCTCTGCTTTTCTCATGCTTCTAAGCATACTTAACCTGTTACGATGCCACGTTTTGTAGCTTGGGAAGGTCTTAAACTAGTTACAGAGCTAGGAAAACAGAACTTCTTTAAGGTGCTTTAGACAGAAGTGGTAACTGAACACGAATTTTGTACTTAGCAAAATACCAGCTTTGCCAAACAACCTTTTCAAAAGAACATGTCACATAAGATATGACTGCAAATTATGTGTTTTGCCTGGTAGCAGCAAGAGACTTCTTAAATATCAATGAACCCACTTTGATGCCATGAGACCTGATCCTTCAGCTAAAATATTTTTTTGTGTGTTTGACCCTAGAAGTTCTGGATTCAGTCTTTACAGACAACTCCACAGGGCTTCTGCAAATTTCACAAGGTTATCTGTAACTCCTATCCCCTCCTCCTCCCAGGTGGTCCTGGTACTGAGATAGAAAGAACTCAAATGGCCCACTGGAGTTACTATCTTAAGTACTTGGGTCAAGTGCCAATATTTTTCTTCTTTGTGTTTGCACTTACATGCTTCCTGAGCTGGAGTGCCTGCTGATGCTGTACATACACGTGGTTCTCTCAGCTTGTGTTTGGGCTGTTGAAACTTGGGATGGAAGCTTTGTGCCAGGGTAGTACATACCTTACAGTGTTGGCTAATGACATTCCTTGAAATTCCTTCATATTTCAAATAGCTTTATGAGTAAGAGGGACAGTTTGAATACATTGCAAACCCCTAAAGCCTTAGTGAATCCTGAATTTGGCCATCTCATCTATTTATAGAACACTCTATGTCTCTTCTAAATATATTTGCCTCAAGGGGACCTCATCTCAACCCCCTGCTCCACAGCTTAAATTGGATCAGCAATGCTGCTGTGATCTGTTAGCAAAAATTCCTTCTCTAGCTCTGTGGCAGAGCTGCAGATGTTGCTGGTCCAGGCCTTGAAGGGGAAATTCTGTGCCAGGCAGAGCTCAAGGATTGGGATTTAAACTGCAACCAGCCAGGTAGACAGATATTGATGATATATTGCAAGGTGTATGGCACCTTTCCTTATCAGGAGTCTTCAGCCTTGCAAACTAGGCTTAATGGTGAGCACAGAAAACATTTTCTTTCTAAAGGAAGTGTAAAGAGTGTTCTGTGGGCAGAAAGCATTTCCTATTGCAAGGATGCTTGAAATTGGTGTTGCTATAGGGAAGAGAAATATCTCTTCTGTTGGAGTGCCTACATGAAAGTGCTTGGAGAGCTGTGCCTCTGACTATATGGAATGGGTCTTCCTGAAATGTTTTCCTCACACCAGGACCAGAAGCCTCTTCTTTGCTTGTTGGCATTGTTTAACCCCTCTGGCAGTAGAGCAGGCTGTGCAGGCTTTGTCCAGTACAAGCTTTGTTTTGTGTTAGTGAAGGTAGGACTAATGTAAGGTGGTGTAGAACTAACACTGCAGGTGTGGTTCCTGCACTTGTCTGGCTTTGGAGGTACATCATAGATGTTCACTGTTCATTTTCCAGGCAGATGAGCATGGGGCATTTAAAAAGCAGGGCTCGAGTCTCACTTGCTGTTGACTGAAGGGGGTCAGACCATCAACTCCATAGCTCCCACATAAGGACAGAGGATCTCTTCAGGCCAAGGAGAGCAACTTATCCCAGAGTAGATTCTCTACTGGAGAATCTCAACCTTTTAGAAAAATCATATGATTTTCTTTTTCAGTCAAAGGCTCCCACTGTACCGTAGGATAGAAGTTTTGGTGCAGAGCTTTACAGAACTGCAGAACTTTACAGGACATTTTTCACCCTTCAAGTTCAAAAATATTTAGAAAAATACATCCTTTATTGAATTTTGTAGGTTTGAACTGTTTCTTCTGTAGGATAGTTACATTTTGTCTGCCTCTCTCTGGAACATCTGCAGATCTGCATGGTGGGTGCTGCAGATCACAGTCCTGAGTGAAAAATTTTGGGTCAATGTAGAGGCAGGATGGCCCATCAGGACCCTACATATCCTGAATAGCTGTGCTGCCCCACAGTAAGGGTCAGTATGGACTTGTATGCTCAGAAAAAAGCAATTGCTCTGTCCCTATGATGTGATTGACTCAGACTCTACTCTGTGGGTCTTGGACTCAACTTACAACTGGGGTGTAAAGCACCAAGGCCACTTGCACTGGTTCAAGGACAGGATTTGGAAGCAGTGTGTCAGTACTACCTCCAGAAGTCACATCAGTTTAGGTACCCATTAGAAATCCCCTTCTCCTGGGTGCAGCAAAGGAGTGACTGCTGCTTACTTGGCCTCAGGAACGGCGAAGCCTGTGCGTGGCTTTGCCACTCCATAGATCAGGGTGGTGTAGCTCACTGTGTATCTAAGCCTCAGAAAATGTCTTTGAGGTTGACAGAAGCTTTTCTTGGTTATTATCCTTTAACGAAGAATAGGGCAGCATGTGGTGAGATTGCAGAATGGGATTAGCTCAGGACTTAGCAGGAAGAGTTTCTTAGCGCTCCTCCAGAGCTATTTCCTTCTCTTACAGCCTCTGGAGCTGCATGAAATAGAAAAGGTTATGTCCTTGCCTGCTAGGCAGGAAAATCATCCCAGCTCTGTGCAGCAAAGTGAACTGGGTCCAGTGCTCTTGGAAGCAATAAAACAGTTAAAAGAGTATTTAACAAGGAATTTCACATGGGGGATTGCACAGTTACCCTGAATATTGCCCTTCACCTTCCCCTTCACCCACAGGCCTCTTCCTACAGTCTATTTGGCTCTTCTAGGGAATCAGTGTTAGCATAGTTTTAGATTTTGCTCTGGTCATGGCTTACCTCTGTGCATGCAGATAACATCTCCTTGCCCCCTTCCTAGCATGCAGGAAAGGAGAGGTGAGTCTCTCCGAAAGCACTGCAGGGCCACTCAGGCTAGTGCAGCCCTCAGCACCTTGGGGTGCTGCTGCTGCACTCTGCTAGGGAGACCTGCTTAGTTTGGGCAGTAGCTGTGATCCCACGGGGATGCATTAACTCAGGAAAGGCTCTGCAGTACCTTGGCCTGTGCCAGGATGGGTGCTCGGACTCCGGTGTTGGTCATTTGTGTTAACATTTCAGTAAAGAAACACTCTCAATGTGTCTGTCTGTGGGTTCTGGTCTGCCAGTGTGATTGGTAGCTCTCTGGCTCACTTCATCGTGCCTCTGGCTAGTTTTTCTCACCGATGTCTCTCTAAGACTGGCTTCCTCATAATGGAAGGTCTCCATTTGGGCACTTGATACAAACTATAGTGCCTTTTGAAAGGTAGAGTAAGTGACGCATGCCAAGAAAATCTAGTACATTTGTGCTTGTAAGAAATAATGATATATCCCTTTTGCAGTGCTTTTAAGAGACTCAGATTCTCTATTCAGAGACACTGGCCTTAGTTCCCTCATGGCCTGGGTGTGTTGTCTGAACTGAGGCTGGAAAGGAATCAAGAGCATTAACCACCAGCCCAGATAGCAGAAGCAGACTATAGAGCAGTTGAAGTGCAGAGCTCAATTTTAAGCCTAATTTGAACATTGAATGAGGTGCTAATATCTCAGCTACTGTGTGGAGTCTCTTCTCAGTCTGCTGTTCGTGCTCTGTGAACAGAGTGTAGCGGTATATATAGAACACACGGTGAAAACCTGGCTTTGGGCAACGAGTGTGGGCAGTGCCGGGTGAGGGGAAGTGTCTGGTTTTGGTGATGAAAACAGAAATCTGTCTTCATGTGTGTGCTCTAGGGAGATGATCAGACTTTTTATGACATGATGCCATCAGTACAGGTTGAAGAACCAATTTCAGAGCTGGCTCTGTAATTGCCTTATAGCTTAACCTGTCTCCATTCCCCCGTAAGAGGAGGACGTATCGCCTTTGTATATGTTGCCTTGTTCACCAGTAAATGTAAAGCAAATTGTAAAATCAGACCTGCTTGAACTAACATTTGTAGCTACTCATTCACTCATGCACAAACCAGCCCCCTGATGCCAGTCCAGTTTTTTTCTTATATCAGAGAGAAAATAAGAACAGTGAGTCAATTAATATTCCCTTTTCTTTTTGAAGTGTCAAGGAGGCATTTGGGTATCATGGAAATGAGGGACAATATGGTAAAAAAACTGGTGTAGAAGGTGTTTAAGAAGTTAAATTTAGTCCTGGAAGTATCTTTGCTGTGTTTTACCAGAGGCTGCTGCTTTTTTCCATTGCTCCCAGTATGATGTTTAGGATGGACTTCACATATTCCCAGAAGTGCAGGAAAGGCCCTGCCCTGAGTCAGGTGGGACTAAGGATTGGCTGAGTTACACGAACAGCGATGCTTGGTTGCTTTTTTACCTGCTGGGTATGGGATGGATTTTAATCCTGGTTAAATCCTGTATCCTAAATGTGTTTGCCTTCTCTTGAAAGGACTTCTCTTTCTCTCTTTTGCAGGCATGGTTCAGAAGCTTGATCAGAAACTGCCTGTAGCCAACGAGTATCTGCTGCTTTCAGGTGGTGTGCGGGAAGGTGTGGTGGACATTGATCTTGATGAGCTGAATGTTTATGCACGAGGCACAGACTATGACATGGACTTCACCCTGCTTGTGCCTGCACTGAAGCTGCATGACCGAAACCAGCCAGTCACACTGGACATGCGCCACTCGGCGTTGTGCCACTCCTGGCTGAGCCTGCGTCTGTTTGATGAAGGAACTATCAGCAAATGGAAAGACTGCTGCACGATCGTGGACCATATCAACGGAGCTACCAATTACTTCTTCTCTCCAACAAAAGTTGCAGACTGGTTCTATGACTCCATTAGCATTGTCCTCTCTGAGATCCAGAAAAAGCCCCAGCGAGGGATGCCAAAAGTGGAGAAGGTAGAAAAGAATGGGACTATCATATCCATCATTTTGGGAGTGGGCAGCAGCCGCATGCTGTACGACATTGTCCCTGTGGTGTCCTTCAAAGGCTGGCCAGCTGTGGCCCAGAGCTGGCTGATGGAGAACCACTTCTGGGATGGCAAGATCACAGAGGAGGAAGTTATAAGTGGGTTTTACTTAGTGCCTGCATGTTCCTACAAGGGGAAGAAGGACAATGAATGGAGGCTGTCATTCGCCAGAAGTGAAGTGCAGCTGAAAAAGTGCATCTCCAGCAGCCTCATGCAAGCCTATCAGGCCTGCAAAGCTATCATCATCAAATTGCTGTCCCGCCCCAAAGCCATTAGTCCATATCACTTGCGGAGCATGATGCTGTGGGCTTGCGACAGGCTACCAGCCAACTACTTGGCCCAGGAGGATTACGCAGCCCATTTCCTCCTGGGTCTCATTGATGATCTCCAGCACTGCTTGGTCAACAAGATGTGCCCTAACTATTTCATCCCCCAATGCAACATGCTGGAGCACCTCTCTGAAGAAACCGTCATGCTGCACGCGCGGAAGCTGTCTTCAGTCCGCTCAGACCCTGCCGAACACCTTCGAACTGCCATTGAACATGTCAAAGCAGCCAACCGGCTGACGCTAGAGCTCCAACGGCGGGGCAGCACCACCAGCATCCCCTCCCCTCAGTCAGATGGAGGGGACACCAACCAGCCTGATGACCGATTAGCCAAAAAGTTGCAACAGCTAGTGACTGAGAACCCTGGGAAGTCCATCTCTGTCTTCATTAACCCAGATGATGTCACGAGGCCCCACTTCAGAATTGATGATAAATTTTTCTGAGATTTCGTCAATGTTTCTTTGGATTTTTTCTTTTGCTTTGTTTTTAAAACCTCTTACAGTGTGCAAGTTTTTTCATTTCATTTTCCTTGATGACTTAGTCTCTTGTTTTTTACATACCCAGCGTAGATTGGATCCGTTGAGAACAATCTGAATAAATTATAATTCCTGGTTCTGCAGGACGGTGCAGATTTTGAAACAGTACATTACTATTTCATATGCTGCTTTGATTTTTTTCACCTACCCAGCCCTATTGTCTGTGAATAGTTTCTAAAGGATAACATGCACCATAAACACACATACCACGGTGTAATGTAGAATTTTTTTTTTACAAGCTTCCATCATTTATGTACGTTTTTGGGCCTGGGGAAGGGAGAACTCACCTTCCGTTGCTTTGGAAATTCACTTCTTTTTCCACGAGCTTCCATCACCCCAAAGAAAAGAGGAGAGACTCTGGGTTGGAAAGCACTACTGGTAATTTGACAAGGCCAAATCTGCTGGGCTGAAACCCAGTTCATCTGTTCTTCACACTTCTCACACTAGGAGAGAAAATTGACT